GTTCCCCTTCGAGCCTTGGCCCAAGAAGGGCGCCCTGCGGTCGGTCACACACATTCACAACTAGTCCTCAGGCTAGGGCTAGGGTGCAACAATGGCTAAGGTAGACTACCAGGCTTCGTACACGCTGTTAACTGAGCACATTTTCACACCAACATTCGTTTGGAAGCGGTTTCGTCATCTGAGATCCGGCCGGCAAGAAGAAACCTGGTCATGTTGCCTGTCACTTTCTCACCAGCACAGAATACTTTTAAAGGGATGTCGCGAACCGACATAGCCACACCGCACATGAAAGTCATCAAACGAAGCTCACGTGCATTTCTGCTGCTCTCACTGCGCTCCAACTCCATGGCTTAGCCACAAGTCAAAGTCTACCTACATCTAACTAAGTTCTCTTGGAGGTGGTTGTCTTGGCGGTGTTCGCATTTTCTTGCGAAACTCGTCCGTTCGTTTGGCACGGCGCGGCTGGCGAGCATTTTTGCTCTTTGGTCCCCGAGCGATGGGGTTCAAATCCAGCTGGCCTAGCACACCTTTGTAAAAGAATGCATGCTCACTGCAACTGCTCTGCACGAAATGTGGATGCTCGTCCACCACTTCCCCTGTCTCCAAGACATACAAAGCTGTGAACCTATACATCAGCTTCTTGTGCATGGAAAATGACCAGACGCCGCTATTCCCTAAAGCCTCTCGGAACGCGGCTTCGCCATTCTCTACCACACACGATAAGGCCAAATCAAGTCTCTGCTGCATCAGAGCTTTGTGCGATTTGGCCAAATCCATCTTGTACTTGGGCATGATTACGAGGGCTGCAATGTCAACATTCTTGTTGTCCACCACCATGCGAGCAGACACTGCATGTTTCAAGAAGGTGTTGTCTTCTCCTGCCACAAAGTGATTTATCACACAGAACAAAGCAAATCAAGACATGTTAGATTTAGTGACAGTTAGTGATTAAGAGTTCTCCCCGACTGGCCTTCTTTTGCCAGCCAGTCACGAAGCAGGTCCAGTGTCAGGCGGTTGGACTGCTTTTCCTCCTCGTCCTCCCGCTCAGACTTCAACCGCTTGGCACTGTACGCCAATGATTCCGGAGGCACACGAATCTGAAATGCCGCGGTTGTATACTGTCCGCCTTGTGCCAAGCTTCGCAACACAGAGGCAGTGTCACGAACCAAGTGACTGACATCCTGGTGCGCAAAACCCTTCTTGAACAAGCCCTTCATGGTGCGCCACGCCCGTTCTTGGGAGTTGGAAATGTACGTGCCATAGCCTGCGCAAACCTGGCCCAAACCACTTTGCCACTTCGCACTCCACCACGCGCCGGTTTTCTGTA